CCTAGCTGTGTGTGTGTGGGTTCCCCCTAGCTGTGTGTGTGTGGTTCACCCTAGCTGTGTGTGTGTGGTTCACCCTAGCTGTGTGTGTGTGGGCCCCCTAGCTGTGTGTGTGTGGGGCCCCTAGCTGTGTGTGTGTGGGGGCCCCTAGCTGTGTGTGTGTGGTTCCCCCTAGCTGTGTGTGTGTGGGCCCCCCTAGCTGTGTGTGTGTGGGCCCCTAGCTGTGTGTGTGTGGGCCCCCCTTGCTGTGTGTGTGTGTGTGTGGGCCCCTAGCTGTGTGTGTGTGGGCCCCTAGCTGTGTGTGTGTGGGGCCCCTAGCTGTGTGTGTGTGGGCCCCCTAGCTGTGTGTGTGTGGGCCCCCTAGCTGTGTGTGTGTGGGGCCCCTAGCTGTGTGTGTGTGGGCCCCCCTAGCTGTGTGTGTGTGGGCCCCCCCTAGCTGTGTGTGTGTGGGCCCCTAGCTGTGTGTGTGTGGGGCCCCTAGCTGTGTGTGTGGGCCCCCTAGCTGTGTGTGTGTGGGGCCCCTAGCTGTGTGTGTGTGGGGGCCCCTAGCTGTGTGTGTGTGGGCCCCCCTAGCTGTGTGTGTGTGGGCCCCTAGCTGTGTGTGTGGGCCCCTAGCTGTGTGTGTGTGTGGGCCCCCTTAGCTGTGTGTGTGTGGGCCCCCCTAGCTGTGTGTGTGGGGCCCCTTGCTGTGTGTGGGGGGCCCCCCTAGCTGTGTGTGTGTGTGGGGCCCCCTAGCTGTGTGCGTGTGGCCACCCTAGCTGTGTGTGGGCCCCCCTAGCTGTGTGTGTGGGGCCCCTAGCTGTGTGTGTGGGGCCCCTAGCTGTGTGTGTGGGGCCCCTAGCTGTGTGTGTGTGTGGGCCCCTAGCTGTGTGTGTGTGTGGGCCCCCTAGCTGTGTGTGTGGGCCCCCTAGCTGTGTGTGTGGGCCCCCTAGCTGTGTGTGTGGGCCCCCTAGCTGTGTGTGTGGGGCCCCTAGCTGGCGCCAAGTGATGGGCGGCCAGGAGACGCCGCCCACCACACGCATGTATAGGCAACTCAAACATCACTAATATTAACATCCTATAGAATAAAGCGTTAAGGATTATCAGAAGAAGGCATCAAGCCGGGGTGACTGTAGCACCATCAGTCTCAGGGTATTCCAAAGGCGCTAAAGTATCACCCACGATGCCAATACCAGAACAAAAGCGCATAAGGCGAGTGATATAAAAGGTATCGGATTCTTTAAGGAGTCTATTGAGAGACAAGTGACCGCGAGTGACATTCGGGAAGCATGTCGGGGAAGTAAGGAGATTCAACAATGACCTGTGACCACTGAGAGGTGTGACAACACAGCAAGTGCCCGTCTAGTTCACACTGTAGCCACCGTCTCCAATGGCGAAGTTGAATATGTTTCGTTCCGTGTAATGGAAACTTTATTTTTCTTTATCCTCTGTTTAAGAATTATTTATATGTACTGTCTGCAGACAGGCATTGGTTAGGCACTTTTGTTTCAGGTTGCTTTTATCGTGTTTACAGGTGGTGACTGTGTACAGCAGGTGGCCCAGTGCATCAGAGGGCCCCACACAAGTCCTCACCATTCACCTGCTACACAACACGACCACAGTGTGGCAGTGTTCCCGCTTCACAACAGTCACAGACACAGTGGTGGCTGTGTCTGTGGACTGTCCTCATCGCCCGCAGTCTCTCAAGGCGGGAGCCCTCACCTCTACTTAAAAAAAAACCATTCATAACATTCACAGCGGGCGCGGGCAAGCCAATAACCGTAACCCTTCGGGTAAGGGTTCTTATAATTGTACTCGCCTATTTGTGTCTGCAGAATCAAACTTCAGCTCTTGGGTACCACGCCATTGCCGCCGTCGGTTATCTGATGACTTCTAACCTACATCACTCCACTTGTGAATTAGTTCCTCAGCCTTACCCTGGGGGTCTTTGTGAGCCGCAGGCCGGGCTCTGCCCCCCTTAGCTATCTGAATTTTTGCCCACACTTGTCTTGCAGATGTTTCCCGTCCAATAGAGCTAGTGAATCGTCTCCGATCATATATGTCTTTAAAATTGTGGCTGGAGTTACCTTCTATTGCTCGTCTACCTTATTCCATTATCAGTCTAATCTTAAGAGTTATCGAGTATTTCCTGGAAGTTCTATGGCTCATCTTTGTGTCCAGTTGTTAGGACGTTGTCTGATGCTGTCTTGTGCCTTTTACCACTACAGTTCCCGCATGTGATGAGCTTCTCTGTGTTTAACTGAGGATCATTTCTCCCAGTTCCGCGCCAAGACTTGTTGTTTATCGCCATATTTTGTCTTGTATTGTTTGTACCTCTTTAATGCGACGTTCAACATGCCATACCGAATCCCATCATACTATACCACACCCCAGTCAACACACTCAAGACAAGCCGAGTACCATACTGTTACCAACCAGTACACCATAACATCACACCATCGAACACATCACCCCAACCGAACACCACACCACCAAACACAATACACCACAACACATTTCCCCATCGCCAACAATTGGGAGGCCAACTGGAGGGTGAGGAGCGGAGACGAGTGACCAACAGGCATCAGAGATAAGAGTGTTGAAGTGCGGGAGTCCGGGGAGGTGGAGGGGCAGCGTGGAGGAGAGGGTTCCAGGTATGGTGGAGGGCAGGGTGTGTGGGTAGTGTTGTAGTCGACCCCTGGCCACTGTGGCGGCCTGGAGACGCCAGACATGACTCCTCCACACCCACCACTCCCCCCCCCCAGCCCGCCACCAGGTAAGCCACCCAACCACCTGACCAGCCAGCCAGCTACCAGGTCAACCAGCCAGCCAGCTACCAGGTCAACCAGCCAGCCAGCTACCAGGTCAACCAGCCAGCCAGCTACCAGGTCAACCAACCAGCCAGCTACCAGGTCAACCAACCAGCCAGCTACCAGGTCAACCAACCAGCAGGTGAACCAGCCAGCTACCAGGTCAACCAACCAGCAGGTGAACCAGCCAGCTACCAGGTCAACCAACCAGCAGGTGAACCAGCCAGCTACCAGGTCAACCAACCAGCAGGTGAACCAGCCAGCTACCAGGTCAACCAGCCAGCTACCAGGTCAACCAACCAGCAGGTAAACCAGCCAACAGGTGAACCAACCAGCAGGTGAACCAGCCAACAGGCGAACCAGCCAACAGGCGAACCAGCCAACAGGCGAACCAGCCAACAGGTGAACCAGCCAACAGGCGAACCAGCCAACAGGCGAACCAGTCAACAGGCGAACCAGCCAACAGGCGAACCAGCCAACAGGCGAACCAGCCAACAGGTGAACCAGCCAACAGGTGAACCAGCCAGCAGGTGAACCAGCCAACAGGTGAACCAGCCAACAGGTGAACCAGCCAGCAGGTGAACCAGCCAATAGGTGAACCAGCCAACAGGTGAACCAGCCAACAGGTGAACCAGCCAACACTATAGAGAAGCATCACACCGTTTACCCCAACACACAGAGAGAGAGGAAGACACTCCTGAAACATGTTGAATGAACATAAATATTAGAGAAGTAGGCGGAGGGAAGGTGTGAGTGAAGGAGGATCATATACGGGTGAAGAATACCAATGGATGACCCTGTGAACAGGGTATAAATAGCGCGCTGCCAATGTTAGAATATGACAAGTATGGACTGAGAAAATGTAGAGGTAATGTTAGGTATGGTTCTACAGTCACAGTCCAGTGGAATAAACTGCTTAGTACCAATGTTGTCAATAATTGTCTTACTTGTAAGACACCGAAGATATATGGGTGAGGTGTGTGCGTGTGTGTGTGTGTGTACTCACCTAGTTGTGTTTGCGGGGGTTGAGCTCTGGCTCTTTGGTCCCGCCTCTCAACCGTCAATCAACAGGTGTACAGATTCATGAGCCTATCGGGCTCTGTCATATCTACACTTGGGTGTGTGTGTGTGTGTGTGTGTGTGTGTGTGTGTGTGTGTGTGTGTGTGTACTCATCTATTTGGGCTTGCGGGGGTTGAGCTTTGGCTCTTTGGTCCCGCCTCTCAACTGTCAATCAATTAGTGTACAGATCCTGGAGCCTATATTGGGTTCTTTCATATCTACACTTGAAACTGTGTATGGAGTCAGCCTCCACCACATCACTTCCTAATGCATTCCACCTGTTAACTACTCTGACATTGAAAAAATGATTCTAATGTCTCTTTGGCTCATTTGGGTACTAAGTTCCACCTGAGTCCCCTTGTTCGTGTTCCACCCGTGCTGAAGAGTTTATTTTTGTCCACCCTGTCAATTTCCCTGCGAATGTTGTAGGTAGTTATCATGTCTCCCCTTACTCTTCTGTCTTCCAGGGACGTGAGGGTTAGCTCCTTTAGCCTTTCCTCGTAGCTCATTCCTCTCAGTTCTGGTGGTGGTGGTGGTGGTGGTAATGGTGGTGGTGGTGGTGGAGAGT